AAAAAAAAATGAAGAAATGTCCTGAGGTGAGGATAAAAAAAAGAAAAGCTAATATAGCCCTGGCCAGTTTGGCTCAGCAGTTAAGAGTGTTAGCCCGAGGATCAAAGGGTCTCAGGTTCGATTCCCAGTCAAGGGTGCATACCTGGGTTGCAGGTTTGATCCACGGACCTGGTCTGGGTCATGCAGGAGGCAACCAATCGATGTGTCTTGCTCACATCAATGTCTGTCTCTGTCTTTGTCTCTCTCTCTCTCTCTCTCTCCCCCCCCCACCCTCCTTCCTTCCCTTCCACTCTATCTAAAATCAATGGAAAAAATATCCTCAGGTGAGGATTAATAACAACAAAATAAGCTAATATAAATCTCTTAAACACAGACATTATCGAAGACTAATGAAAGTACTCCTCTTAAGAAGGTGTAGAAATAATGTTCTCTTCTTTGAACTAATTATGTTTTTATGATTAGCAGAAAAGGGGATTTTAAAGTCCATCTAGTACTCCAGCCACCTCATCCTCTAGATTGGGTGGCAAGTGGGGATATGATCATTTAGAAACTGAGTCACTGTAAGAAGGATGAATGAGGTAAAGTCTTCTGCGTAGACAGTGCACGCAGAGCTAATACTGGCTATTTCTAATATGACCATTCCCTTACCCTATTTACTAAAAACCAAAAAAACAACAAAACAAATCCAGATTAGGATGATGAGGATAAAGGCAACCAGGAAGCCTGCAAAAAAACAAAATTCTGCTAGTTCCCTAAAGAAGTCACTCTCCCAGAAATTAACACAGAAGCCATCATTCTTTTACTGATAAGAAGACAACAGAAATATAGGCTGTTTTTCCTATATCGACAGACTAGCAGAATTGAAAATACAAAATATTATAATACAAAAAAGGATGATTTTGGTGAGGCTTCTGTAATGTTCCAGAGACTGTTCTACAATTAACTGGATCAGCAACAAAACCCAGGTCAAGGGAGGAAACTACACAGAAATATGGTTCTATATGAGTACTTGTGTAAGAGGTAACAGAAGATGTGTTCCCCAATAAATGATTCCTACCATTTTTGTTCCTGACCTTAATTAAGTCCAGTTTAACATTGGCATCTCATTAATCATTATAACCTACAGTAAATTAATGCCATTTAGGAGAGAGTAATTACTTAAAAAATGTTTATGACAAAATAATCAATACTGAAATAAGAATGAAAGTAACAACAAAGTAAATGATCTAATTAATCTCATATATTCAGTTTCTCATTGTTGACTCTAAGCTTCACTTTAAAAACACAAATCACATGTAAAACCTAAACCTAGAAATTAAAAAAAAAACATTAGTTTTATTTACTATAGAGAAAACTGAAAAAGTAGAAGTTTATTTTGTTTTAGAAAATAACTGTGGTTTGAGATGGCAGACTATAAATAATCTGTTAAATTGGTGATGGTTCAGTGACTTTTCTTCATCTTAAAATATTGCTTTAAAAAAGTAACCAAATCATCAGTTAGCTTTTTGTTGGAAAAACAAAATTAATCTGAAAAAGAAAAAAGGAATCACTAATTCAAAATGTAGAATGCTCGCTAAAAATGAAGGCTTATAGCAAAAAACAAATTGTGACTATTAAGTAATAGCAAACGACCCAAGAATGCCTTTTAGTAGAATGAGGTAAAAGTAGTACTGAACTAGTGAGTATTTCATTACATCTATTCTTCCTACTCTTAATCTCAATCTTTTAAATCTCGAAGGGGAAAATTACACAATCCAGATTTCATCCATGTTTTCTCTCTTAACCTCTTACAATTTGGCACTCAATGTACCATTTCACTTAAAGAGTCCACTAATAAATGGCACCGTTACATGAAATGGCTCTATCTGGTCACCCCTTCAATCATCATAGATCTTTATATGGATTTTTACACTGTTGGTGAATACCATTTTTAAAAAAACCTTTCTTCCTTGCTTTCAAGAAGTTGGCCTCCCTCTCCTTTCAGTCTGACCATTTTAAACCTGCCCTTACTCTGCTCTGTGTTCCCTCTTGGAAGGTTCAAATCATTTCACAGTTCCATCTCATGCTCAAGTTAGCTATTTCTGAAGTCAGATCAAAGCCACTTTTTCAGCTGCGTAATATTGGCCCTGTTACATAACCTCTCTATGACATAACCTCTCATTTTTCAGTTTCGTCCCCTGAAAAATGGAAATAAGAGTAGGGTCGTTGTGGGGATTAAATGTAAAACATCTAGTAGAGTGCCTAGCACGTGGTAAATGCTTAATATGTGGTATTTATTAATGTCAGGATTGATATTCTGTGCCATTTTATTCTGTATTATGAAAGTCAAGCTCATTATTTCTTCTCCCAAACTTATACACCCTTTATAAGTTTTTCAGTCAGATAAATGATACCAATGCTTTTCCAGTTTGCCACAAATCCTTGGGATAATCTTTAATCTGTCCATAGGGACCTGCTACTCAGCAACAGTTCTCTGCAGTGTCCTTCACTCGGGGTTCTGTAATTTAAGTCAACTTTATCATTAATTGAACACGGATAGGCTGTACCCAATACTGGAGAGTTCATGGCTTTGTATAACTAGCTATCTCAAGAGCATATGGCACTTACTACTTCACAACAAACAGAAACTTCTCTTAAGTCAACCCCAGCCACAGGAAAGGAACTACATGAACCAGCACTTCCCTGTCCTAGGCTCAACCACACTGCCCTCCAACCTCTATTTGGCTGCACGACCCTCTTCTCTCTAAACTCATCTCTCTATATCAACTCCATTCCATTCTCCCTACTTTATAGTAAGGATGATCTCTTTGGGCTTCTGCAAAGAAAAAGTGTGCTGTAAAACATGCCTCCCCTCTCACAGGCACTTCAAAGCAGACATGCAAAGTTTAAAATAAATCAGCAATATATTATCTGCAGAGTAAAGGTCCAAACCAGAACATCTTCCAAATGCGAGCAGTCGTAAAGCACCATAAATAGCTGAACGGTCACTGCTAAGAGTTGTCATATACATGCCAATGTGTATATATAACAATAAACAGAAGCTGTCAAAAAGAGAGTACAGTTACATTCTTTTTTAAATGGGCAGAATCTATTTCAGTAAACTAAGAAGTATGGCCTTTGGCCTGGAATAGACCAACATTTATTGTGTTCACAAAAGGTAAGATACATCTTTTTATAAACAAGTCCTTTAAATTTCTTGCAACAGTACACAGATTAAAACAGTAACTTTCTTTCATAATTGCTCAAATATATAATATGCTAGGAATTATTTAATTATATTTATAGAGCCAACCCACTCATAAAGATAACAAATTTATGCATAAGTGATCACACACACACCTATGCATAAGTAATCATATAATTTATAAGGATTTTATTAAATTTCTAAAATGGGGGGGGAAGGAGGGAACATCTGTAATACTTTAAACAGTAAAGATAAAATTACTCCTGTTGGGGGAGAGAAGCTCATAATAAAATAAAATTAAAATAAACAAATAAAGGTATGCAAAATACATGAGCATGATTATTTTATATATAATGGTGCAACAGAAAGGATTATATCCATTTTTACCTATAACATGCAATTTCATGGTAATCCATTTGTTTGATCTTAAAGGGTAAATCTTACCAAAAGCATCAAATTCTCTATTTTTGGGTAGTGGGGTAAAAATTTAAAGGTCTGACCTGGCTGAAAAAAGAATATACTATAACAAGTCCAATGACTAAACAGTTGCAGATTCTAAAATGAGTTTTTATTACTCTGAATTAGGCGCTAATTATGCTTTAAATGTTCTACCCAGTGATATCTTTTTAGATGCATAAAAGGAAAAAAAACAACAATATTTAAAGAGCTGGTCTGCGAGTCCTCCATTTAGTGAAGGGCAGTAAAAAGAGAGATTTTTAGATGCAATCTCATTTTTCAAAGTATCTCTTCAGACAAACCATAAGCCATACAAGGTTAAGAAAACTATGGTTTACTCATCCTTATAACTCAAAGTTCTACTCTACACATAGCCACTAGGAATTAAAGTTCATATTTACATTTGGTTTCCCAACAGCAGAGATGCCTGTTCTCATCCACTTTCACTCTGGGCCCATCTTGCTGGCACCAACAGGTGCGGTGCAAACTACTTCTTACTACAGGTAACAAGCATATTCTAACAAACAAGTAAACCAGATATATGGAAAGATAAAAACAATATATTAAACTAATAAAATTTTTTTTTACATAAAAGGCAGAAGGAGAGCTTAGATAAGGTCAAAATTGTTATAGCTTCAACACTTACCATATTTTTTTAAACTGAGGTATTATTGACATTTAACATTATATTAGTTTCAGGTGTACAATGTAATGATTCGATATTAGAACACTTACCATCTAAAAGTTAGTCTCTGAGTAAAACACGCTCACCACTGAGTAACAGCTATGGACACTTGAAATAACTTACCTGAATAAATGGTGATTATTGTCAGAGTTAAATAATTTATATAACATGATTCATTTCAAGGCTGTTCAAGGGTGATCAACTATAACCAATAATCATAACCATACACTATTATCCCAAGCCCTATTTTATAATCAAATACTATCCACTATACCCTTCAATATCTGGATTCAGATCCATCAAACATTCTAAGTTATTGGGTCTACATGAAAAATAATGACTGAATAAAATTCCTCATTGCTCTTAAGTACCTGAACATAAATTCATCACCACCTTGACTTCTTCTCTACAACCTCTTTGCTTCCCATTAGGCAGCTTTTCACCTATACATAGGTCAGCTGACAAAACAACACGAGATTGCAAAGAACTAATGACTACCTAATCATGATAAAGCTTGTCTCAAAGTAGTCTTCTTTCTCTGGGTTCACATATTAATTCTACTCAACAAGCATCATCATTATAATCAGACAGTTTTAATTATATGCCCACATGCATAGAACATTCCATTAGCTTCAAAACAGTTAAACACATAAGATATTTTCTTCTTGTACTTGCCTTGTGTCTGCATTTAAGTACAACTCCATAGGCTCCTATAATAAAAAGAAATAAAGAGTTAGGAGCAGTATACCAACTATGGCTCTTGTAAACATCAAAGTTCTATTATACTTACACTGTTTATCAGTATTATATTATAATAATTATTCCTAAAATGACAATATTCCACAGTGATAATGCAATGAGCCACATACAAAGAGAGCATGGATATTTATTATATATATCTTTAGTAAACCAAGAGTATAAGCAACCCACTTCCTCAACATGTATTTCTATTTTATTTTATTTTTTATCCTCATCCGAGGATATGTTTTATTGGTTTTGAGAAAGAGAGAAAGAAACATCGATGTAAGAGAGAAGCATCAATCGGCTGCCTCCAGCACACACCCCAACCAGGAATCGAACCCACAGTCTTTTGGTGTAAGGGACAACATTGCAACCAACTGAGCCACCTGTGCCAGGGCCTCAACATGTATCTTTAAAGGTTTCTCTTTTTATTTATTTATTTGTTTTAAACTTTTTCCCTTTATTGGTTTTAGAGAGAGAGGAAGTGAGAGAGAGAAACAGACAGAAACATCAGTGAGAGAGAACATCCATTGGCCGCCTCCTCCATGTCCCCCACGGGATCGGGCCCACAACCTGGGCATGTGTCCTGACCAGGAATCAGACTGGCGACTTCTTGTTGCATTGGTCGATGCTCAACCACTGAGCCATACTGGCCAGACAAAAGGTTTCTCTTTTTAAAGTTCACTTAAGACATTTTTTTTTTTTAATTTAAGCTTAAAATATACTGGAGACATGATTTAGGCACAAAAATTTTTAGGAATAAATGAAAATTAATTCAAGAGATTCTAGGAAATTTAAAATTTAAGAGCTAATGATTTCCTAATAGTAAGCTCAAGCACAGAGCCTACCAAATATGTTATCTATCGTAGGAGACATTTCAGTCCTCTTCTAGGATACTGGAATGTTTTTCCTGATTGGAAAATAGTATAAGCCCCACAAGCAGTCCAAGAATCTCTGGTCATTTATAGCCACACATTCCCACTTTGTTTGACATATTTCTATGAGATTCATCACTACCTTTTGTGTTACTTCAATCCTACCTTTGGGTCTATCTAGCCAATAAACTACTTCTTTAGAGGCAGAACACAGAGTTGACAGCAAGGTACCCGGAAGACTGAGGTTAAAGTTATATTATAAAAATCTAATTAGGAGAATCAAAAGGTATTGTATGATAACAGGTTTGTAGAAATGTCAAGAACACTGACATTAACAGACAGGCAAAACCTCATGTATTTATGAGAAGGAAACTTTAGGGACATGAAATTGGGAACTGTCTCTCCAACAAAGTCTAGGGAACCAGAACAAGTCTCTCCCAATTTGGTGGAGATGAATGAACCTTACTATCATAGTTAGGATGGGACCAGCCATTATAGTCATCCAACTTAGCTCCACAATCATAGACAATCATCCAATCCTCATGCCAGTTTTACTATGGGGTAAAAATGCACTAAGCTACAGGAATGTAGTTTACTTGACAGTTTTTAATTATACACACACACACACACACACACACACACACACATTTCTTAGCCAAAAAAGCAACTGACACAGTTTACAAAGGAAAAAAACATAGCAATGATGGTTCTGACTACAACTTAAACTGACATATTCTGATTTATTTAACAGTCTGGTAGTATGTATGTACGTATGTATATATTTATAGGAAGGGGTGGGGAGAGAGAGAAAAAAACACTGATCTGAGAGAGAAACATAAATCAGCTGCCTCCCTCAAGACCCCTGACCAGAGATCGAACCCGCAACCTTTTGGTGCTTGGGACAATGCTTAACCAACTGAGCCACAATGGCCAGGACCAGTCTGGTAGTTTTAGTTAATCTGAGCCAATCCCTGAGAAGATGGTAACGTACAGGTATACAAAGAAAAACAAGGTTATGATCCAGAAAATTTAGGCCCAGAATCTGGAACATTCCAACCCTGTTATATCCTGTGAGGTAACCTTCTCCAGTCAGTAGTTTATTGCATAAGTCTCTAATTATAATACTTGTGAAAAAACAACAATAAATAATCCAAAAAAGCAGCTATTATAAAACAGATAGTAGATAAGGTATGGAGAATAAATTTATTTTTACAATTAATTATCAATGAAGAAAAGGAAAGGAGCCGACTGGTAAAGAAAGAAGGATCCATTCTCTTGATACAGTTTTGAAGACTTCGAAGCAAATACCCAATGATTAGACTCTGTTTTAATTTATTTGAAAAGAATTTGACAACTTAAAATTAAATCTACAACAACTTTGCTGTTCACATTGGTAAATTTTTAAAACTTCTTTTGAAACTCAAAATTTATTTGAAAATTCTGAAATATGAAATTTCTATAACATTTGCTTTAAAGATATAACTGCTAAGAAACCATAATTATAGTCGCTTATCCCTTTAACAGAATAATTTATCAAAATTTCCATGAAGTTATCTTTAAATAAAAAGCAAAACCTACTAAAAATGAAAAATCAGGAAGACATATGAAAAATGAATGATCATATTTCTTCTCATAATGATGTCATTGATTATAATTCTATGTACTACTTGGAAAGGAAAAATGTTGCCAATTAAACCATGACATGCTACTGATTATAACATACATCTGATTTCAAAGATATTACAATATGACTAAATTATATGCCTCAGAATTTATAAAATGTGTTTTTTTATTCCCAAAGACAAATAGAAGTTATTTATTCATTTATTCACCATTCAGTAAGTAAAATTTAACTTAAGTTATTCACCATAAGCCTAGCTGATATAAAATGTAACCAAAAAAATTACTGACTAAAGAAACCATGATTCCCAATGAAAAGAAAGGAATGAAGGCAGCCTCAAGATATCCCTGATTTATTAAACTTTAAAGGGTTTTAAAATGTTAACTTTCAACTGGAGAATAGGACCCAATACTTGAGAGTAATATTATTTTATTTTTATTATTATCTATATTGTTGAGAGTATATTTTAAATATCTTACTCTTAGGCCCATATCTAAATTGACAGATTAAATGAATAGGACCGGAGTTATTAATTATCTTGGTGGTCGGTATAATTGTACATTGCTCGAAACTCAAGGAATGCAAAACTTACCTTCACCTACAACCCCAAGGATCTCAAATTTATTCATCACATTACCAATGTTAGGAATCTTCATGAAGACAAACTCCTCTTTTGATGCGAGCCACAGAACATGGCATCAAAAAAGAAATTCTGAAAAAGTTGTCCAGTAAGTAGAACAAAAAATGGCCGAAGGAAGAAATTCTCACAGGTTGGCAGGAACTTTCACATATTTCTTCTAATGTGAAATATTAAATGATTCCCTGAAAGAACAAACAATTAAAAGCCATAAGTTTATATCTCAGAAATAATCACAGAAGGAAAGAACCCAAAATGAAACACAAATGAACAAATGCACCTAACTGTATTTGAAATGAGTAACATAAACACACTAAAGGGGGCCAGGGGAAAAAGAATTAACCCTAGGTAACTCTTGAAAACAATATTTTAACAACATACATTCCTCTAGCTAAGACAAAAATAAATATAAACACATATTATACTCTACTTAGATATTTATTTCCACAGAGACATAAGACTTATTTATGTCTATTCTAGGATTGAGCCAAGTAAGTATATATATTGTAGATAATGAGCTTGGTCCCTTCTCATAAAAGGAAGTTACAAATATGAAAAGGGGGAAGGCTTGAAATTAGAGTTAACCATATAAACTCAATTCTTAACATAGAGAGATGTAGAAATAAATATAAATGTGTGTGTAAATATACATAAATATACATACACATATCTATTTCTTATCTCTGTCTGTTGAAGGGGCCTGAAAGCAATGACACTTCAGTATCCACGAGCATAGCTAATACACCAATAAAAGGAACCAGAGTCACTTGGAGAAATGGCTGATTTTCAGGCTATAGCAGAAAGTAAGGAAATACTCAAAAAATAATAGGGGCATGTCTAAAGGACACAGGAGTCAGCTTGAAGAGTCTCAAGCTGGTCAAATGAGGAATAGTTGAGCAACAAAATAAAAATAGTAGCACAATATAATCCATAGGGGGGGAAATGCACCATAAATAAATGGGGGAGAAGAAAAAGGTCTTTCTTAGAGTATAATTCCAAATAATAAATTTGGTGAAGCCCAGCCTGTGTGGCTCAATGGTTGAGCATAGACTGGTTCGATTACCAGTCAGGGCATATGCCCAGGTTATGGGCCAAATCCTCAGTGGGGAGCGTGCAGGAGGCAGCCAATCGATTTTCTCTCTCATCAGAGTTTCTATCTCTCTTTCCCTCTCCCTTCCTCTCTCTCTAAAATCAATAAAGAAAAAAAAAAAAACTGGTGAAGAAATTAGAAAAATCACCATTTGGCAAGGCCCTGGCTATAATTATTTCAGGTAAATATCAATACATGATAAAACCAGTGGTTGAAAGTTTGATGGAAAACAGGATATTATCTAGTCTCAAAGTAGCTCCCTATAAGATACTTATCAATTACAAAGGAAAAATAGTAAGTTCATAGTGACAAATCCTGCCAGATACTACCTTAAGCAATCAAAGTTAACATCGCTAGTAATAGGACAAGTCAACACCATATGCCTTCTGATAGGATGCGTCACAACATACTCCTGTGGTATTCCTTCTAAAAAGGTAAAACCTAAATCTAACCAGAGACAACAGCAGACAAGCCCAAACTACTACGGACACTCTACTAAATAACCGGCCTGTATTCTTTAAAAATGTCTATGTCATGAAAGAAAAAGAATGACTAAGTGTTCCAGAAAAGAAAATTAAGAGTCATGAAAACTAAATATAATACATGCTCCTGGACTGGATTCTGGACAAGAACTTTTTTTTTTTTTTTTTTTTTGCTATGAAGGGTAACTGACAAAATTTAAATGTCTACAGATTATATAATAATATTGTATCAATGATCATTTTATTTTGACAACAGTATAGTAGTTATGCAAAACAATGATCTTGTTTTAAGAAATAAAGAAATAGGTGAAGGTGGTCAAAAGGTACAAACTTCTAGTTAAAAAATAAGTCCCAAAAACCTCAGAAGAGGAGGTTGGGGGGAGCAAAAAAATAAACCACAGAACTTATATGCATGTATGTGTAACTATGGACATAGACAACAATGCTGGGGAAAGGACGGGGGGGGGGGATTGGGAGGAGGGTGTCAATGGGGTAAAAAGGAGAAACATCAGTAACAAAAATAAATTTAAAAATTTAAAAATAAATAAGTCTTAGGGATATAATGTACAACATGATGCCTATAGCTAGCACACTGATGGTAGGACTGAAAACTGAGACAAGCTCTCTAAAGAGTAATATGCATAATTAAATGCTTTTAAAATGATCATATCCTGATAAAAGTATCTAACAAAAACCTACATCATTCTTAAATGTGAAATATTAGACATAGTCCCTTTAAAAATTAAGAATCTGATGAGATGTCCTACAATGAATACTTATTAACATTATTGTTAACATTATCCTGGTGGGTTCTAGCCAGCTCAGTAAAATAAGAAAAAATAAATAAATGAGTAAAATATATAAGATAGGAGAGAGGGAAACAAAATAGTATTTACAGATATTATTGTCTACATAGAAAATTCTATTGTCTAGATAGAGGAATTTACAAATTATTAGAATTATAAGTGTTGGCAAGGTAACTGAATGTAAATTTAATATATAAATATTAACTGTATTTATAAACATCAACAATAGACAAAATATAATTGTTTTAAAACCACATTTACAACAAAAATAGTGGCTTAGGATTTAACATAAAAGATATCCAAGGCCTCTATTCAAATATATATATATATAAAGATGACCTAAATAAATGGAGTTTTCCCAATTTTAAGCTAGGAAGAATCAATACCCTCCATATTAACCTATACAGTCAATGGAATTCCAATCAAAATCCCAGTGTTTTCTGAGAAATTAAGAGAAGCTAATTCTAAAATATACGTGAAAGAGCAGAGTTCCAAGTACAGTCCACAGTCCACTGAATAAAAAAAGTAAGGAGGCTCAGCCTTGAGGGCAGGATCTGGCAGTATGCCCCCTTCCAAATATATTGAGGGTTAGAACTGAGCTATAGAAGTTAAGACAGTATGCTCCTGGCACAGATGCAGACAGATTAGCCCATGGAACTAATGTGAGAGCCCAGCAGCAGACGCTACTTACTTAAATATCCCTACAGCTCCACTCTCACCTCCCCCGAATTCAGTCTGTTCTTTTCACAGAAGTCTTTAGTGATTAAGTCAAATCATGTTACTTCTCTGCTCAAAACTCCCCAAAGGCCTCCCTCATGATTAAGAGTGAAAGTCCAAGTCCACATAAGCTACAAGGCCTTAACCTGCCCTCCTCTGACATCATCTCCCACCAATCTCTCCATTGGCTTGCTTCACTCCAGCCACACTAACTTCGTTTCAGTTCAATATATAACAAGAAAGTCACAGTTGTACCTAGTCCTAAATATTTCTTTTTCACTCTAACATTTACTTTAGGTCAGATTCTTATTATCTGATTTTTCAGTCAACATTTACAAAAAATGTTTTTTGAAAAAAGGCAAGAGAAAGCAGGCATTATATTTTAGAAAATTTTAATAATATCACAAATTTTAAAAGGATGACTGTGACATTTAGAGACTAGGATGTCACAATTTCAGAAGAAATTGATATTTATTCTATTCATTCATTTATTAAACAAATAATTACTCACTGCCTAACATATTTCAGGAAGTGGATAAATAAGACACACAGGACAGTGGTGAACAAGTTGGGCAAGGTCATTGCCCTCATGGAGCTTTACATTTTGCTGAGGGAGGAAAAAATACAAGATTATCATCAGATACTGATACATGTTATGAAGGGAGAAAGAAGGAGTAATTACTCAGAGAGGCCTCTCTAAAAAGGTGACATCTGAGGTGAAATATCAGTAACAAGGAGTCCCTGCCCTGGCAGATTTGGTTCAGCGGTAGAGCATCGGCCCGTGGACCAATGAGTCCCGGGTTCGATTCCAGCAAAGGGCATGTACCTTGGTTGCGGTTAGTCCCCAGCCCTGGTCGGAGTGGTGCAGGAGGCAACCAGTAGATGTGTCCCTCTCGTGGTGATGTTTCTCTCTCCCTCTCACTCTACCTGAAGATAAATAGAAAACTATCCTGGGTGAGGATTAAAAAAAAAAAAAAAAAAGGAGTCACCCATATGAAAATCTAAGTCAGTCACTTTCCAGGTAAAAGATGCTCAAAGTGCTTGAGAAGGAATCATTCTTTCATTTTCTATGACTGATTTGGAAGAACACCCAGGAAACGTAATTATTCCCCTCTCTCCCAATAATGGTATATGACTTATCTCAAAAGAAACTAGAGATAAAAATTAAATCATTCCTATGACGAAGACTCGGCACCCCAAAAGTTCTGCATGTAAGTATTTGTAAAGAATATTTGGTCTCACCTAGTCTCTGTAGAAATCAAAACTGAGTAATGTAAACTGGGAATCAGAATTTAAATGAGTGCACAAATACACAATATAGGTGTCAAGAACAGTCTTTTAACTACTAGTATTCACACTGAGGAAAAAAAATATATGCCAAATTGAATTTCACTATGTAAACTAAAAGGGGGCAGCTTAGAGCTGACAAGTTCAGAGAGCTATTTGGCCTGACAAGCTCAGTGACTGGAAGTCATCCCAGGCCTATAGCTTTCTTAGCAAAGGTCAATCTTGTGTGTGTGTGTGTGTGTGTGTGTGTGTGTGTGTGTGTGTGTGTGTGTGTGGTACGTGCCCCTAGCAGGAACCAAACCCAGGACTCTCTGGTCCGCAGGCCAACGCTCAACTGCTGAACCAAACTGGCCAGGGCACAAAGGTCAATCTTTACCTTCAGTGAGCTCTGTCCATTGTTCTTATGCATTCAGGATAACATACCTTTGAAGTGTCAGAGTAATTTTCTTTTCCATACCCCTGGAAAGCACAACCACTGGCATCAGAGCACAAGATCACATGACTCCATGTTGTTACATACCATCTCTATTTACTGTGTTGTGTTACCTGTCCTGTACCCTCAATGTAAAAGAAACGTGTTTCTCCATTTTTTTTTATTTTTATTTTTTATTTTTATCCTCAAGTGAGGACATTTTTCCATTTTTTGTTCAGATAGAGTGGGGGGGGGGAGAGAGAGAGAAACATCAAAGTGAAAGGGACACATCTAGTGGCTGCCACCCGCACAACCCAACCAGGGCCGAGGGCAAACTGCAACAGAGGTACGCACCCTTAGCGGAACCGAACCTGGGACTCTCTGGACCGCA